CCAAAGACCAACATTTCAGAACTAACTTCTTTTTGATCCGATCTAAATTTTTGTATTTTATTCTTTATATTATTTTTTTTTTTTTCAAGATTTGCACCTTTGGGGCCGGTCTGAGACAGGAAAAGTTCTTGCAGTTATGCAAAATATGATAAGAGCAGAAAACCATTTTCTTTCACCTCTGCTGATCTGTAAAAATGTATTTTCAGCAGAGCACAGACAGACCACGCAAGCTCTAGTATCTCCTCCAGAGGAGCTTCACCAAGTCAGAAGCTGGGGGGGGGGGGGGCAGATCTCAGTCCTTCAGCCCCAGTCCCCTCCACCCCTGGGGGCCAGCAGATAATCCCTGCTCTGCTTCCCCAGTCTCATTCTGGACCCCAGGGAAAGCTTTTTACCCAAAGGAGAAATGCAGAGGTGCCCTGCAAGCTGGTGCCTTCCCCCTCTACATGGAGGTGGCACCGCGGTGGGGTCCCTCCCTTGCACGGGGAGTGACCTCTGTGTCCTCGTCTGGCCAAGGTCACAGCTTGGAGAAGCAGGTACCTGCTACTTGAAATGAAGCCCTGACTAAAAACCAAAAGATTTGGGTTTTGATACTGCGCCTTCCTGACGGTGACTTCTTTTCAGGGGCAATTAAATGCTAAGCATCGGTCTGTTAAATTTAGTGGCAATTTCAGTTGTAGGAGGCATCAAGTCAAGGACAATTTCAATTTCGGGGCAGCTTTTATTTCATGTTTTGAAACTGAGTGTGCTTTATATTCAAGAGCAGCTTTTGTTTGAAATAATATAGTCTAGCCTGTTTCTCCGTGGCCCTGATCCCGCATCCCAGAAAGGACCTCGCTCACAGCCAGAATCCTACTGAAAATCGGGTGCTTTCAGCAGGGAGACTGAAGTGCCGTAAGCACAGGCTGGGATTTTCTGTGCGTGCCTCTCTCAATGTGGGGAGGGTTATTAGGCTCCAAGGGTTTTCTCCCTCAAAGCCCCACAACCCAGACCCATTGGCAAGACCCTTCGGGAGAAGAGTCATCTGCAGGATTCGACTTTGGATGCAGACCCGGATCAGAGCTCTGGCTGTTTGCAAAGGTATTTTGTTCAGGCATGTCATTCGGTTCCCTGCGGGAGTCGGTGTGCGTACCCCCTCGTACGCGCCTGCATAGCTGTACTTCATCTGTCTACAGGCAAGAGCTTCCCTGAGCTGCCTTCCTTAAGACTCAGGTTTTATATTACCAGGTAAATTTCCTTTCAGCTTTATTTGCATGGAGCAAGAGTGACATTCTGTGGCCAGTTAGATTTATGGCAGCGTTCCCTCACTCTCTTTTTTCCCCTCCCATAAATACCTCAGGGTATAAACCATCCTCTGATAGTCTTTTGTTTTGTTTGTTGCTTCTATCACGCTTTGTGAGAAATAAAAATAGAGGCATCCTCAAACATTTCTGTGGCATAAAATCCTTAGGGACTGCTTTACCACGAATTCCTGACAAATTCAGATGTCTATGTACTGATTATTATTTTATGAGAGCAATGCCTGATCGTAATGTAAGTAACTAGAAGCATGAAGAGACTACGGCACGTTCCTCGGGCTCCGCTCTAGCTGGCTCAGCCCGTTGTACTTGGAAGGGATGAGGAAGCCATGTTCCAAAACCCCATAAAAAAATAAAGCGGAGCTCTGTTTAAAACAAAGCAGTGGGCTTTTTAGGCACTTAATGTGCTCCAGCTAATACACCAATGACACTAAATTGAACTCATTTAGCTGTAAACATATTACATTTGACAGTTTCCAGTGGTAAAACACCAGACAGTCCATGCTGAGGAGAAAAGAAACAATATGCAAGGAGCAAAGCTCATCACACGAGTAGCCACAAAAGGGCCAACGGGGGAAAAAATACCCAACAAAACCCCAGCATTTTTCAGTGGTTTGGAGTCATAAACTCAGCTCAGACACACGTGGTACCAAAAGCAACCTGCCTGGTTTAGACAGCGGAGAGCAGGCGCTGGAGTTTATATTGTTCCCCTGTTTATTAAAAACGGATGGGAGCACTTGACAGAAAAATCAAACTTCTGGTCATGGCTCATTAATCTCTGTTGTATCTGTCAGATATGTGTGTCTAGAGTTTCAACAAGGCTCTAGAATCGAGATTACTACTGAGCTCTGTTGTTTTCTCTAATTTTGAACGAGGGGAAATGCTGCCAATCACCCTAGGTGAGAGGGGAGCACGGGGCCATTGCTGCAGCCCTTTGCAACGGGCATCTCCCTGCCCCACGGTTTGGATCTGATTTCAGAGGCAGCGACACCTCTCTCCTCTCTCACCACAACCTGAGTTTTGGCTGGCTGCCTCCCCTTCCTCTCCCCTGAAAATCAGACTCATCGCTCGCCACCAAAGTGCATCCCCGTCGGTGTTAAGGTGATGACGAAGGCAATCTGCGGTGGTGGTGGATGCCTCTTCATCCCTGGATTCTGCTCTCGCACACAAAAGTGTTAATCGCATTAATCCGCTGAAGACAGTGGAGCTCCTCCAGTGTAAAACCAGGGTAAGTGATGGGCTCAGCAGGCCTAGAGTGGGCTCAGCAGGACTGAGACGAATATGGTATGAAACAATTAGCTGCAGATGGTATAGGAATCTCGTTTTCTGGAAATACAGATTTTGCCTGGAGATCTTTCTATATATATTGGATTTGTCAAACTGATAATGACTTGAACATTTGGAGAGAGAGGATAACCCACCACAGGGCCAGATGCAGCTGTGATGGGGAGGATGGAGGATGTGTATTAGCCCCGAAACGTGTCTGTCTCCCCATCACGTTGCCACGCCAATCCATGGCGGTGGGAGGATAGATGAGGCCCTGAGCAGAGCAGGGCAGGGGAGCTCACCCGCTGCCACCCTTTATGCCATTACTTTCCTTATTTGCTTTGGACATCGCTCATTTCACTCGCTCATTCTTTTCTTCCCCCTTTTCTTCCTTTTTTAATTATCAGTGATGCCGTTTCCAGAGCTAGCAAAACTGCCAGGCACTTTGAGGACGAGGCACAAGATTTAGCTGCTGCTTCACTGGAGTGCAAAACAGAGACAGTTGCGACTGGAGGTTTCCAGCTCCGCGAGCCGGAGGACAGGCTGGGGACAATCTGTCTGAATCTTCAATCCTGGTACCGCTAGCAAGGGTTCTTCTTCAGGCACGAACAGTGGATTCACGCGGCACAAATACAGACAGAGACAGAAAAATAACAAAGAAGATCTGATGTTTTACAACTGCAGGTACACAGGCAGGCAGTCTGACCCTCACTGCTCACAAACTGTAAATGGCAATAGTGGGACTGTGCAAAAGGCGTGTTTGCCAGCTCCCTTCTCAATAAAACACATGGAGTTTCCCTCGAGGGGATGCCTCTCCTGCCTGCCAGAGTCTGTCCTCAAGATCAGCCTTTCCCGCTGCGCCAACTGCAGGCTTGCAGGCATGGCTGCTGCGTGGCGCTTCAGATCACATGGAAAGCCATATTCCCGGGGATGCCGGGGCGCGCCAGAGAGCCTGCCTGCGCGGCCGTCAGCTGGACTGCGAGCGGGCAGTAGGCAAATGGCAAAAAGCAGAGCTTACCCTTCTCTATGCTGCAGCTCGCCGTTTCCGAGAAGCGCAGGCATAGCCCTGCCTTTCAACCATAGCAGAGCTTGCCCACGCAGAACACTTCCCAAGACCATTTTGAAGACCAGATTTATAAAGTTTGACCTCTTAAGAAACAGAATGTCCTATTAGATCTTAATGGACAGGGTGAATCCAGCTGCCCGCTAATCTACCTGCAATGTGGTGGACTCTTCTAATCCCAAGAGTAAATTCCCATTGTCATAATGTTAGCTCCTATCACTTAGAATATTTTTCCAGTGGGGTTTTAGGAATCTGGATTATCGGGCCTCTTGATCTGTTCGTACTTGCAGACATGTGAGCAGCTATACTAGCTGGTATAACTTGCTGTTGCTCAGAGAAGCCTGTGCAGCTATATATATATTTGCAGCATTTCTGAAGCTTCTCTGTATTTAACACTTAATTTTTTTCAATAAAGCGTAAGTGACGTAGGAGCCATTTTCAACAGTCACATCAGCACTTAAGCCCAGATCCTTTAAGCTATTCAAGTACTTAGATATATATACCGTAGTGGAAGCGTTTCAGACACCTCGGCGGGTCAGACGAGTAGCTTCCACCGAAATCTGCGCTCAGTTCCAGCTTCCCCTCAGTTGCTTAAGTTGTTCCTTTGGGATTTAGATACTGAGGTGACAGGTACCTAAGATACACAATAGCTGGATGACATGCATAAGGTAAAGATGGGTGTTTGAACACTGTGGGATGCAGGATCATCCTTAGCTGAGTGACAGCTCAGCAAAAGGCCATGTGGCCCTCCTAGGCATCTCCTGGCCAACCACAGTAAAATCGTCAGGCGGCAAGTGCTGACAGGGGCCCTTGAGGGTGTGAAATTTCTTATGCTGATACAGAAGGCATGGCACAGGGAAAATCTCCACGCCAGTCAGCTTTCTGGGAGCCGAGCTGTAGCAGTGAGCCCCTCAACTCTCTGGAGCACTGCGGGTCAGCCTGGACATAACTGGGAGCAGAGAAAGGACCCACACAGCAACCTGACAGAAATACAGGTTTGTTTCATTGAAATACAGAGTGGGAGCATTTTTAATGGCAACCTGTGAGGGAGCTGGACTCTATCCTCCAAAAAGCTGATGCAACTGCTGCCAGGCAGGCAATAGCTGAGCATCCTTGTTGGGCTGTATCACTTCCTAACTGTGCGTCGGTCAAACAAAGCCGCAAACTACGAACCCAGGATTTGTTATCTTCTTCCACCCTTTTGGGTGCTAGCTTCTTTCCAGGAGACATAGAGAAACCTGAGGTTACAGACCTGCTCCAACTCCACTCCTGTCTCCAGGACACAGAAGATACAGGAGACCTTGGTGTCCCTTACTGCATGGTGTGGCAGCAGCACTCCTTTTCTTCTCAAAAAGACTTTGTGTCTCCCTGGAGAGAATTACAGAATCATAGAGTAGTTTGCGTTGGAAGGGACCTTTAAAGGTCATCTAGTTCGACCCCCCTGCAATGAGAAGCCAGGAAGTTCCCTTGGGTGATGTCATTTGGTGCTGCCGTGTACCATGAATACCATTTTTAAGCAGCCACCACGTCCTTTGCCTTCACGGTTTGTTTTCTGCTCTCTATTGCTGGTAATTTTTTTGCACGCATCTGCGACTTGAACAAAAGAAATTGTTGTTTTCAAGTGTGTAAATATACAAAAATAAGTTACTGGTAGTTTGCTGGGCAGGTTAGTGGAAAGCAATTACAAATGTTTTTATGCTTAGCAAAATATGGCTGAAGATGTTATCTGCTTTGAACTGCAAAACCAGAAAGTACTACAAACCCTTTTGTTATATGAGACAATGCGTCACTGAATAAAGAATCTTTTTATGAAGGGAAAGCTAAAAAAACCCAATGACATTATATTCAGTTACACTGAAACTGCAACCTTTCCCTCTGCATCTCTGCTTCTACCATCAGCCATACAAAGCCCTTCTTCTTACCACAGAATATATCAACTGCAGGTCTCCAGTTAACTCGTGTGAAATGTGCTTGATACCAAATGAATGGATGATCATAAAAACAGCGTTCCTTTTTCATGGAAACAAAAACCAGTGGTGATATGTATTGCTTCTGTTTTCAGCCAGAGACTATAGTACCAGATGGCTAACACAACCACAACAGCTAGCTGCATCTGGATTAAAAAGTTTGGATGGTGTGAGCTAATCTTTAAAAAATGCCAGATAACTTTTATCTCTTTAAATCATGTTACTGCTCAGTGTATTTCCTGCTCACGCCATCCTAGGACTGCTCAAACATGCCTTAGACATGTTCATTAAGCATCATTAAACTGAACGAAAGACTAGTAACTATCTTTGTCAAGTCAGAGGTCAGATTTTGGGATATGATCCAAGATCCACTGAAGGCAAGGGAAGATGTCTCACTGATTTCTGTGGCCTTTGAACTAGGAGCCTAGTGGTTATTTCCCCTTGTCTGCATCTATTACGGCTGCAGATGAAACTTACACTGGTTAAAGAAAAGAACAGAGAAGACAACTTGTCTCTTTTGATAAAATGACCTGGCTTTTCATACTTAAATGTACTTTTTCCCATTAAGCCAAGATGTTTGGGTAACAATGTTTGGCTAGCTATATAACCTGAATACTGAACAGACGGAGAAGAAATACATCTTTTCGCTCTATATGATTATGAGATACCCGAAACAATAATTTTGTGGTGGGTTGACCCTGGCTGGACGCCAGATGCCCACCAAAGCTGCTCTATCACTCCCCTCCTCAGCTGGACAGGGAAGAGAAAATATAACAAAAGGCTTGAGATAAGGACAGGGAGATCACTCACCAATTACCATCACGGGCAAAACAGACTTGACTTGGGGAAATTAGATTAATTTATTGCCAATCAAATCAGAGTAGGGTAATGAGAAATAAAAACTAAATCTTAAAACACCTTCCCCCCACCCCTCCCTTCTTCCTAGGCTTAACTTCACTACCGAATTCTCTACCTCCTCCCCTCGAGCTGCACAGGGGGACAGGGAATGGGGGTTGCGGTCAGTTCATCACACGTTGTCTCTGCCGCTCCTTCCTCCTCAGGGGGAGGACTCCTCGCACTCTTCCCCTGCTCCAGCATGGGGTCCCTCCTGCGGGAGACAGTCCTCCATGAACTTCTCCAATGTGAGTCCTTCCCACGGGCTGCAGTTCTTCATGAACTGCTCCAGCATGGGTGCAGTCCCTCAGGAACAGACTGCTCCAGCGTGGGTCCCCCACAGGGTCACAAGTCCTGACAGCAAACCTGCTCCAGCATGGTCTCCTCTCTCCACGGGTCCGCAGGTCCTCCCAGGAGCCTGCTCCAGCACGGGCTCT